GCGGGTGCTCAGCGCGGGTGCTCATCAAGACACGTTTCAATCCCCCAATGGAGACGATCTCGCAACATTCCACCAAGCAATAGGCTAAGCGGTGATACCCCGATACTAGCCACGCCATTGTGGTTATCTCTCAAATAAAACCGCATACCCATATATAAGCCTCATGCAATTAACTAGGTGGTCATCGCCCTCAGTATTTTCTTGCCGTGAACACAAGGAATGATATTTTCCACATAGTTTATGCATTACCGCGTCGATATAACGAACCTGTTCAAGTGCCCTAAATTTCGCCCAACCCCCACAATTGGTAATTAGACGGAGACGATGCAAACGATGTCTGCTGTGGATGAGATGCCGCCTTACCCGATTTATTTGAAGACTGGCATATCAATGTTACGGACCTACCAGGCACCAATCAGTTATGGGGCCGCAACTTACTGATGGGCCACCGAGAGCCAACCGATCTATCTGTCATCAGATCACGTGCAGTACCTTATACCTTGGACACCCAGGAATTCAAGGAAAAGAGAAACGTGATCATGCCCAGTGAGCGTGAGCATGATTTACCCTGAGCGGACCCACCCGGCAGACTTTATCCTGTACATATGTAGCTCTACAGTGATATTCGAAATCAGTTTTACCTGCAAACTCTCTCTCTCTATTTCTTCGGCCCCACCCTAAATGCACTAGTCCTGATTAGGGTATCTTCCCGCCAGCCTTGTATCCGTCGATATGTGGGTGTAAATTACGGTAATATCATCTGTTGGCCATACTTGTCTTTGGCCCAAACAGGACCACAGACGCGCTCGGCTTCACCCTATGTCGCTGTTGAATGAGTCGTTATAAATTAAGTACATGTAATACAATATATAGCCTGTCTGGGAAGCCAGCCTGCTTTACATTCAGTCTCTGTACACGTACAGTACAGCAATATTCAGAATACCCCCCCGCCCCAGACACAGACAAATTGTTTTTTCGGCCTGTACATATGTATCCGAAACCGCAAAGCAGTATTTATTTGATCCTGTAGTTGACCCCTGCCTAGTTGTATTGTTTCAAACTTTGGTAGAATGTTCAAGACAGGATCTCAGCGTAAGAGAAACCCCCGTTTGTCAGGCAGGAACCTGTCAATCAGGCAAGGCATACGATGCTGATATCAATACCAAAATGGCAAGACAGAAACCAAAGGTATTATGCTCTCTCTGACGACAAAACTAATTCTTGAGGATCGCAACTTAGTTCCTCTGCGAAGCAGGAAGGTCATGTAGGCTTGTCGCTGACATGATGTCGCTATGGTGGCGGAAAGACAGTGAGTCACATGCGCTTCGATGCCGGTCTAGGCTTCTGCCATCATCCGATGTTGACTTTTTACCAGCTTCCATGGATGAAGCAAATGGGGCCTCAGGCAACGTACAGCCTGCCCAAACCAGGCTAATGCGGGGAAATCCGTCACTTTCATAAGTGTTCAGATTCGCTTCTTTCTTCCTGCTTCCTCACAACATCTTAAATCTTCAATACTATCAAGAAACAGGAATGTCCGTCATTCAAATTCACCCTTCGGTCGATGTTATTTGGTGGACAGATACCGACCTTCATATCAAGTGTCCTTACTGCGAAGAGCTTCATCGTCATGGGTTCGTTTCCTACGAAAGTGCGCTTCGCGTGCCGCACTGTGGCATGCCTCGGCCGTCATATCGGTTTAAATTCCCTAATACCTACGAGATCAATAAGACTAAAGCACGTTTTATCAACATCAACACCCTTGAAGATTTGGAGAGTGAGGCTGAGAATGGGTCTGAAGATGAGACATTCTTGTCGGGTGGAATTTCCAACATGAATTTATCTGAAACACCAAATGGACCTCACCAAATTGAGGTCACCTTCGCTGATTCTACGGAACAAATCACTTTCCAACTTGATGGCGAAGAGCCTTTTAACGAGCGGCGCATCCTCTTCGCTATATCAGACTGTGTCAGTGGCAAAGTATCCAGTGTGAGAAACTACTACCTAGAACAAACAGAAGAAAAATCGATATTTCTTCACGGGAAAAATCACCAAGGAGATACTTGTCTCATCATGGCTTCTCGAGAGGAAAACCCAGTCATGGTTTCTCTTCTCCTCGATTATGGCGCTGATATAAACGCGGCGAACAAGAGCGGAAGGACTGCACTCATGGAGGCATCCCTTTGGGGTAGACTGGAAAGTGCAACGATACTTCTTTCTCGGGGCGCAGATCGGTATTTGTATGACAAAAGACTTCAACGAGCTCTCGATCTCACCCATCCAACTCAGCAAAACCGCAAAGAGAGGCACACGGTCGCAGGTGGGATCTGGGGCGATCCATCGAAAGACCCCATTTACAAGGAGGCTACTCTCAACCGAGATTCTGATCGGCGTGAGATTGCAAGGGTTCTACGCGGGAGAGAAGTGCGTACCAGGGCCGATTTGGAGCTACAAGAATCCGAAACGACCTATCACTCGTTCAGAAGATCCCCCGATGGTCAGTCAGTCACTCATTATGGTCAAATTCGACAGTACCCCATATCTAGCTCTGTGAAAACAGTTGCCGTCCTGGAAAGGGGCCGGCCTTTTCCTTCTATAGCGGCGATGAGTGGCTGGGGGCATTCTGAATGGCCTTCAACCAGAGTGAGTGGCAGAGATTGGACTGCAATGGTCCTCAAATTAGCTACTATTGTTGGCCATACATTGTCTGCCTATGCTGCAAAAGACCAAGGAATTCAAGGACAGTTCCAAGCATCCCACGCCGAGAAGCAGTTGATCGCCTATTTCCTTGACCGACATGTTTTTCTGCAACAGGATAAGACCCCAAACCCCCAATTCGACGAAGAAATTGAGAATCAAGAATCGGAGATCTCGGAAATGGCCTCCCGGTTTTCTAGCATCCGTCAAATGCATCGCCTTCAAAAAGATAGGAACAAAGTGGTATTTGAGTTATGGAACAAAGATGATAAATTACTCGGGGATGAATATGATGAAGAAGTGGTGAAGGGCTTGAAAACAAACGTTGCATCCCTTGATGAGGAAATTGCTGTCCTCGAACGTCGTCCCGAAGCAAGGCAAATGAGGGCTCGAGAGCGTCAGATACGGCTGATTGAACGTCAAAAAAGGCTTCACGAGCGCCTTACCCGCATGTCAGCAAAGGAGCCAGAAAGAGCTTTGCGACGGGCAACTATACTGATAAGCGCACCTACGCATGAGGTTTGTGAAGACTGCTTGTTGTTTCAGAACAGGGTCAACCACTTCTTCGGTCTACAGATCGAGTTGCGTGAGTGTACAACGTGAGGCTTGTCGGTGGGGGTGTCGGTGGGCTTCTGACTTTAAATATTCATCTAAATCGATGAATTCGGGGTTTTCTTTATCTGTGGTCAGCTTTCGGAGGCCCGTATCTGAAGCTGCACTAAGCTGTATTTGGCCGAGGTGGATATAATCATTTTCTACATCTGCGACCCGACTTAAATGCCTACTAATGGCTTCACAAATTGATTTTACTGTGTTCAAAGAGAGTGGTTCGATAAAGACGTATACAAAAGGTGGGCGAAGCAGTTGAGACTCTGTAGCTTGGAGTGGACAGTCTCGATGCCATATTGGGCATAGGATTGTAGCAACTCTTGAGTCCTAGGAAATAAGGAATTACAATAGATTTCTGACCGCGGTCAGAAGTTTACTCTGACCCTAAATACAGACCCAGGGTATAGTCTAAAATGTAGAAGTTTACGCTGGTCCGAAATACAGACCAGGGGTGTGGTCCGAAATATAGATGAAGGGCATGGTCCAAAATATAGATGAAGGGCATGGTCCGAAATGTAGATGAAGAGTATGGTCTAAAATACAGACTAAGGGTATGGTCTAAAATACAGATGAAGGGCATGGTCCAAAATACAGACTAAGGGCATGGTCCGAAATGCAGATGAAGGGCATAGTCCAAAATACAGACCAAGGGCATGGTCTAAAATACAGACCAGGGGCGTGGTCCGAAATACAGATGAAGGGCATGGTCCAAAATACAGACCAAGGGCATGGTCTAAAATGCAGACCAGGGGCGTGGTCCAAAATGCAGACCAAGGGTATCGTCCAAAATGCAGACTAAGGGTATGGTCCGAAATACAGACCAGGGGCGTGGTCCGAAATGCAGACCAGGGGCGTAGTCCAAAATGTAGACCAAGGGTATGGTCCAAAGTACAGAAGTTTAATCTGGTCTAAAATGCAGACGAAGGGTATGGTCTAAAATACAGACAAAGGGCGTTATCCGAAATGCCGAAGTTTACTCTGGTCCGAAATATAGACTAAGGGTATGGTCTATTAGATCTATATAGTACAGGGCCCAGGCCTATTGGCCAACTAGCCTAAGGCTGTAGGCCGTCTGGGCCCCCCTCTAGCCCCCTCTATAGTACAGCCCCTCTAGGCCCCCTCTATAGTATAGCCGCTCTAGGCCCCCCTCTCGGCCTACCTCGCTAACTGGCCTAAGGCTGTAGGCTGTCTAGGCCCCCTCTGGCCCCCCCTCCATAGTATAGGCCGTCTGGGGCCCCCTCTGGCCCCCCCTCCATAATATAGGCCCTCTGGGGCCCCCTCTGGGCCCACCTCGCTAACTAACCTGGGGGTATAGGCCGTCTCGGCCGATCTATATAGTATAGGCCCACTGGCTAACTAGCCTAAGGGTACAGGCCGTATAGGCCCCCTCTGGCCCCCCCTCCATAGTATAGGCTGTCTAGGGCCCCCTCTGGCCCCCCCTCTATAATATAGGCCGTCTGGGGCCCCCTCTGGCCCCCCGTCCATAGTATAGCCCCTCTGGGGCCCCCTCTGGCCCCCCGTCCATAATATAGCCCCTCTAGGGCCCCCTTCGGCCCCCCCGTCTATTATATAGCCCCTCTGGGCCCCCTCTGGGCCCCCTCTGGCCCCCTGTCTATAGTATAGCCCTTCTGGGCCCCTGTCTGGGCCCACCTCGCTAACTGGCCTAAGGCTGCAGCCCCTTTGGACCCCCGATGGGTGATCCAGTGGAAGCCGAAGGGATTGGTACGGTGAAGCTCACGCTCCGGGGGAAGTTCAACCAACCCCTGGTGTTAAAGAATGTATACTTTGCGCCACGCGTCGGGATGAACCTGATCAGCGTGCCGAAGTTATTGCGAGACCGCTACTCGGTGGTGGCGCACCCGCAGAACGTCTTTGTGCAACGCCGAGGACGGACCGTGGGGACTGCCTACCATGCGGAGGAGGATCTGTTGATCCTGCGGTGCCATGTGAGCAAAAGATCCCGAGAGCGAGTCCAACTGGCGAGGGCGCCGACGACCTATGGCCATGCAGATTCCCTGGAACCACAGGCGGTGGCCATGGAAGTCGACGACCCTCAGGAGTCAAGTGACGCAGAATGCGCAGCGTCAACCTCTGAACTCGGTGGTGAAGCTGTGATACTCGAAGAAGATGCGTGCAAAGGAGTGGACCAGGCCTCCGAAGCGATGTGGCACGCTCGGATGGGACATCTGAACCGGGGAGACTTAAGGGTGGTCCTCCGGCAGACCGGCACTCCGTACCGACCGCTGACGCAAGCGCAGCTGCTGGCAACGCCGCAGTGCCCAGCGTGTATGTCGGGTAAGCAGTATCAGAAGAGGAACTCCCGTGCAAGACGGCCACGTCTGCATTCAACGAGAATCTTTGAAATGATCCATTCGGACATCATGGAGATGCCGATCGCCAAAGATGGCTCCAGGTACGTGATCACCTTTACTGACGATTATTCTCGTGGCTCGTGGGCATATGCCATGAGATGGAAGCATGAAGCGCTCCAGAAGTTCCGGCTATTTGCGGCCTGGGTGCACCGACAGTTCGGCGCCCAGATCAAGAGGTTCCTCACCGACAATGGGAGAGAATACCTGCCGATCGGAACACACCTCGAGCCCCAGGGAGTTGAGTTTGACACCTCGCCGCCATACTGCAAAGGGCAGAATGGTTTGGCCGAACGCACGAATCGCACTATCCGGGAGCGGATCAACACGCTCCTGTCCGATGCGAAACTTTCTCCTTCCTGGTGGACCGAGCTTGTGGACACGGTGGTCTACCTGAAGCTGCGCGCACCAGCATCGATTTTACAGAAGAAGACGCCGTTCGAAATATTGTACGGGAAGCCGCCCTCATTGTTGCATCTGCGACGGATCGGCTCCCGCGCATGGGTGTTGATTCCCAAAGAGCATCGAGCAAAGCTCGGACCCAGGTCGTCCGAGTGCCGATTGCTAGGTTACTGTGAGCCGAACCAGTACAAACTGTATGAGATCCATTCCGGAAAGACCGTCTTTTCCCGTGATGTCGAGTTCGATGAGAGGACCCCTGTGGCGCCACTCATCGAGGGGGAAAGAGGTAACGACCTCCCGGACAATGCTCCTCTATCACCTGTCTTTTTACCAGTGGTGCCACCTCCATCTAGCGCACTGCCTACGCCACCAGCATCGCCTCCAGACTTGGCTGAACGACTGAAAACGCCATCTCAGCATGTGGAAACACTTCCACCGGTCAATCCAATCGAACAGGAAGCAGAGTCCACACAGGACCTCGGCTATTCCATCTATGGCCGCAGAAGAAGACCCTCACGGCGCTTACTGGAATCACTTGGCAAGGTGTACACCGCAGGCGCACTGAATACCGCGTCTGCGCGCACAGTCGATCCATCGACTTTCCACGAGGCCGTGTCGTGCCCGAATCAACTGGAATGGTGGGCAGCCATCCAGAAAGAATATGCGTCTCTTCTCGAACACGGAACATGGGAAAAGGTTCTGCGAACAGACGTACCCGCCGGAGATCATGTGATTGGCTGCAAATGGGTCTTTAAGACCAAAGCCAACGGAACGCGCAAAGCGCGACTGGTCATCAAAGGCTACCGGCAGAAGCACGGCATCGACTACCATGAAACATTTGCTGCGGTGTCACGGATGGACTCGGTCCGCTGCATCATCGCCAGCGCGGTGTTACGAGGATGGAAGCTTCACCAATTTGATGCTGTCACTGCATTCTTACATGGGGACGTAGACTCTTCCATCTACATGGAGTTGCCCGAAGGATTCGAAGAACCGGGATATGTTTGCCGGCTTCGTCGTTCCTTGTATGGACTCAAGCAGGCCCCGCGGATTTGGTACCAATGCGTCCACCGCGTCCTGGCCGCTCATGGCTTCACCATGGCACAATCGGACAACTGCGTGTTCTATAAATCCAATTGCGTGATCTGCGTCTACGTCGATGACTTTCTCGTTGCTGCAGCAACCTCGCACGAGATAGACCAAGTGCAACGAGCACTGAAAAAAGAGTTCCGATTGAACGACCTTGGAACTCCACGTTCGTTCCTCGGGATCCAATTAGACTACCATGCCGACGGAGCCGTTTCCATTCACCAACACCAGTATATCCAAAAGGTTCTCTCCGACTTTGGCATGGAAACCTGTCAGACGAAATCTACCCCTATGAATCCCAAGCAAGTCTTGAATCGCCGTCCAGACGAAGAACCTCCGGACGAGGAAACAAAAGCACGATTCGCAACCGCCATCGGTTCACTGATGTATCTGATGGTCGGAACGCGGCCGGATATTGCGTTTGCGCTGGGCACGTTGAGTCGCTTCACGTCTCAGCCACAATCGCACCACCAGGTCGCCCTACAGCGATTGCTTCGCTATGTCAAAGCCACGCAATGCCATCGCATTACATACCGCAGTGGTCAGTTGATCGGATACACAGATGCCGACTTCGGTGGCTCCGTCGTCACTGATGGGGCATACTCCACGTCTGGCTATGTGTTCCAACTTGCAGGCGCACCAGTCTCCTGGTCGTCCAAGAGACAGGGGGAAGTGGCCACGTCTACGACTCATGCCGAGTATATTGGGCAATACAATGCCCTTCTACATCTGCAGTGGCTCCGCACCTTCCTAGCAGAAACGCAAATGTATCGGTCCCCGGTCACCAACATCATGGCTGACAACCAGTCCGCTATTGCCCTCTCGCGCAATCCCGAGTTCCACAAACGGACCAAACATTTCAACGTGAAATTCCATTATCAGCGAGCAGTGCTGAATGCTGGCGAGATTGGTCTTCAATATGTTCCTACTGAGGAACAGGCCGCTGACGGTCTCACCAAGCCGTTGGGACCTACGGCTTTTGCCAAGCTCTGTAGTCTTCTAGGAATCGAAGCCTTGGAGACTCGGAGGCAGCAAACGTGACAGCGCAGGCGCTCTTTCCACTTTATTTTCCCACGAAGGTTTTTGAGTGGTTTTACCGAGGCTTGCCTGCACAGCGTTAATCCAGTATCGCCTTGCCAACAAAGCGATCCTGAGGGGGAATGTTGTGATATGAGGCTGGTGCAGATCAGGAACCAAGCCGCACCGTCGGAATTAGCTCCGAAGTGTCTATACAGACGACCAAGTTGATTGGAAATCAACCTGGCTAATTGTTGTATATATAGGCTCATGTATCCCTCTGGAATAACAAGTCAATTCACACCTCTAAACTACAACACATATTTTAGAGACGACTGGAAAGCCCACAGCTTCGCTCGACGGCCAGAAGACAACCCGGGAAGGTCGAGATATTAGATTTAAGATACAGGACCCAGATAAGATATATAGATAGCGCATAATTGGATTTATTGATACCTCGCGAGATCGTGCGTAGTTTTACAGTCTGAGGCCTAAACTTCCTCACCGACCGCCTATTTCTGCCATGATTCTGCCATATTCAATAGGTCCATGTGCAACAGTGTGTTTAAACCTATTACAGAATGGCGGCGAGAGAAGCGGTGAATGAGAGTTAAGTTAGGTTTCCATGGGCAGGTTTTGGCGTGGTCCTGGTTCCAACTTGCCCACCGGGTGTGTCTCATGACGACCCTTTGACTCAAGTATGCATCGATATTATCGTATGAAGCCTCATTACGTCCTGACTTGGCATAATATCAAAATTTCTGTAAAATGCGAAATTCGGTGCAGGTAACTGTGTCTCATGCAATTGCAATGCACGACTCTTGGACCCCGCATTCACATTGGCGCCTCGGCAAAGACTTGGGAATGCACCGCCTGGGAACTCTCCATCCTCTTTTCATTTTTGAGTGCTGTATAGCTCATCAAAAGAGAAGAAAACGATAACATGGGGGCCAACGCAATATCTACAACGGTTCAAAATGAAGCTGCTCGTCAATCCTGCAATGGGACAAGCGGAGGGGAAGATCTTCTATCTAGAACACGTGCGTTCTGGAGTCGAGAGACGTTAGTATGTCACGAGTGAAGTTAAGAAGGATGCTGACCCCATTTCTCATAGTTTTATTGGATCTGCAATTTTGAACCTACTTGCATTTGCCCCTCCCGCCGTTTATAGCAGCCTGAGTAAGCCATGGGTCGCCAAGTTGAGCTCCAGCGAGGTAGTCACAACTGATGTATACACTTACATCGGCATCATTGTTGAGGTCTTGAATGATGGAATTCCCCGGTCTGCATGGTTGATTATTGGGGACAAATCATCGCGAAGTCTGCACACACGGCTTAACCTTGCCTGGACCATGATAATTGTCGTTGCAGCACAAGGGCTTCTGATGACCGTTATATTTCTTGCAACTTCGACTAAGCTTGCAGCCGTCTTTGTCCCGGCTGAAGTGCGACATACAGGAATTTCACTTTCTGGAGCTCGAAGCACATGGCTTGGTTATGTCCAATGTAAATACTACTTATCCCACATCCACTAGTACTGCCTTTTATAGATGAGGAAGGAAACGAATAGTAACATCCTTCTACATAATCTAGCAAATCGTCTTGATTACATACAAAAAGAGTCAAATTGATCTATTAGACTAGCTCATTCATCAAGAACAACCATTCCCAGCCGCCGAGCAACCGCACTCATATCCACGCCACGCACAATATTCGTATTATCAGAAAGAACCTCCGAATCATTGACCTTACTACAATGATTCTTGTAGAAGTAAACTCCGTTCTCGGAGACAAATTTTGCGCGATCAAGAACGACTGTGAACGTGCCAGATTCGTACGGTAACCAGTTGTACAGATATTTTTCAGGGCCACGAGGAGTAACTCGTTTTGCAGTTGGGGGCTGATCCTCTTGTGAGAGGATATTGTGAAGGGCGCCAATAGGGAAAGGGCTTTCCTGGCTTTCTTGATTTTGCTGGGATAAACTTTCAAGAACTTCATTTTGGGCGGGGCCGATGGCCGACCAGGAATTGGACTTTGGAATGAAGAATTTGAGGGTGAGGTTTTTATTGACCGGAAGGTGGGAGAGGACAGACGCTGTGAAGAGACGCGCTGTGCTTTCGAGGAGAGAGAAACCTGCCGTGTCGCGTATATGACTGAGAAAAGATGTGTGGACAACGTATTGAATGTCAGAGGTTTTGCCCTCAGGAGTATTGGTGACTGTAACAATGTCGGCTTCTCTAGAAACCTGGAATGCCGGACCAAGAGAAAAGCCACAAACCGAGGTTTCTTGGCCGAGCTGGTCACGAATCTGCTCTTCTGTTGGCATATCTTGGCCAGGAGGTTCGCCCTCATCAACATCCAAGGCATATCGCTGATCGGCATAAGAAGAGACGTTAAGGAACAAATCGAGGATTATCATCTGGCCGATGTCCATTTGCTCCGTAACACGCTCGATGGATAGTTCAAATGCCTCTGACCTGAGGTCTTCATTGTCCTCGGGTGAATGTTGCGCCAAGTCAGCATCAGCGCGTGTGCTAGAAAATGTGCGGTTGAAGTAAAGTAAATCCGGGCCTTCGCCGATCTCCTCAGCCTCCTCCATATTGCCCACTCGATAACTGTGCGATCGCACCAGAACGCAAAATCCAATATTGGATAGGCGATTGGGACGATTCCATCGCGCAATCAGTGGAAGAGGATTTTCGACTCCTGACCGATGTTGCTGCTTGCGACGCGCGATTTCCATGCGATTATGCTCAATGCAGGCAAAGCCATCGCGCGGGCGGTATGAGTAAATTTCGAACAAAGGCTTCACTTCGTCATCCGAGAACGTCTGCATGAGGTATTCTCGGAGCTCTTCGTGGTCGTCGTCCAAGGGAACAAGACTGTAGACCTGAATGGGAGTTTCCAGATCGGGGTCTGTCTCGTATTCTGGCGAGACATACTGCTCGAGCACGACAGGATGACCCAAATGGTCCGTGTAGGTGCGCACTTGCTGCCAATCCATCTCAGATCTTGCAACTGGGGCTATGGTTGGTGCAAATGAGCAGCGACCTTTGATGAGGAAAACAGGTTTGAAAGAGACTACTGAAGTAAACGTGGGGAGCGACGGGCTTAAATGGAGGGGAGGGGTGTTACATAAGCAGGGAGAAGATCGAGACTTAGGGCTAATCGACCAAGTAAGTTGAGCATCCGGGCATGATGAGAGGAGGTACGTAGGTAGTATGGAGGAGAGAATGTGCAAGTGTGTACTAGTAGATTGAATGTGGTACTACTGGTAGGTGAAAATCTTAATATACTGAGAGAGACATAAAGTCAGGTGACTGCCCAGTAGCATGCCTAGACCTCGCCAAACGCGGGTTTGGGTTGGGTTTTCAATTTCCTTACCCGCCCATGGGCAACCCACCGCGGGTTTTGGCCTTGATGAACCCGCCCATGGGTTCTTGGCGGGTACCCGCGGGTTGCCCAAAATACCCAAAAACATGCATAAATCGTGGATAAACTTGATTAGTCATCTAGTGTAATTTTGGTCATTTATTTCTGTCACGCTTTTGAGTGGATATTACACTGAAACAATGAACGCCATCGACCTGGAAATATATATTCTCTACATGTAGATCACTGCCCCTATCGCCCTGCTTTACACAACTGAAGGGATTACAGGCCACATTGATGATTTTATGTAAATTCATCAATTGAGAATCTTTCGAGTGAGCTCAAAAATATTATCTTTAGTTCGATCCTCTAAAATCAGTGATTTGGACCTTCTCAGTGTCCTCCCAAAGTCGTATTTATCTCCGGGCGGGTTGGGTTGGGTTGGGTTGGGTTTTGGGTACCCGCGGGTTTTACGCGACTCAGGAATAGATAGATCTAAACGCACGACGCGACTGGAACAAAATCCACAATCAAGTACTTAAGATGAAAAAAATCCCCCCTTCTTCCAATACCAGTGGCCTTTTACTTTAGTATAGTGTCTTCTTCCTTATTATCGCGATCAATATATCGGCCTTTCAGTCTACTGCTCTCTATTAAGCTGTTATCTGACGGCTTCTTAGATTCTGATATTCAATCCTCCGTAAGAAAATGGTCCCTTCCACTAGCCTCTGAGTGTTGCGGCGCTACCTATATGTATATTAAGATAGACCGCAGCCTTTGATAGGACCCCGTAAAACCTACGACATAACTACTCGAAGACCTCTAGCGACACTCCGACGTGTGGGACCTCAGCATAGAAAGAAATGGATTGCGTACGAGTCGTATCTAGAGACAGAGTTTCTTGAATGGTGGAAGGAAACAGAGTACGGCCAAAAGCTGAACGGAGAAGGCCAATCCCAGATCAAATGGTCCACCGGATCGCGTCACGCTGATGTGTGGAAACACTTTGACCAGGTGGCTGATATTGATTCTGGGCGTCCTCGAGTTATCTGCTAGGCTTGTCTCACTGTGCTTGATCATCCACAGTATAAAGGGAATGGGACAAGCGCCATGAGTAGACACAAAAAGTCTAATACTTGTCGTACAGTAGTTTTCGAAATCAGTTATACCTCCATACTCTTACTTCTTGATTCGGATAAACTAATTCCGACACGCACTAGGCCGGTTTGGCTCACCGTCTAATAATTCTGGCAGAACGATTATCGTATTGATTGTATCACTATCAATGAGTCATCGTTATATTACCGTAACGTTAATTAATCAGAATTGTTTTGTAATCAGGCGATCTGGCAAGATCGCCAGCTAGCCTCCCTCGAGCCTGGTTTACATAGGTTGCCCACTGGCTGGCTCACTTCGATGTTCAGTCAATAGAAGCGTGATTATAAACGCTCGTCTCGCTTTCTTCTTACGAGGCTTGCACTTTTTGCTCATCATCACTCACGAGGACTCTGGTATTCGCTTAGCACACATGGTGAACGGAGGAAAATTTTTTTGTTTGAAATGAAGGGCCAAGCCTTGGTATTTGCCAATCCCCAAGCGGACTATCTTGCAGTGCGAAGCCCGCCTCGCTGCATTTATTGTGGCGGGTGTACGAAAAGGCTATTCGTGCGTTACCTATTAAACCTACTTTGATTGCAGAGATTCTACCTGCTTAGATATTACATATTAGCAAAATATCTAACATGCTTCTATAACCACGTGATGCAGCTCAAGAGACATGTCTTTAGCAGGTGCGATTGGCAGTGAAATGAATGGTCCGCGGTCATTCCTTCTATCACAGTACTACAGAAAGTGTATATGATGGACTACTTGATACAGTAGGGATCTGGTCTACGATGGCCCAGGCTTTTGGCATATCTTGCCAACTTTGGGTTTCCGACAGCTTGACTTTGCCAGGAGCCACGTTCTTAGATGCCAATATTTCTTGTCTTGTATACACAAACGCCCTTGATGAGGAAACCTTTCATTCATGGAACCGGCTTACTCCCAGTTAAATACGTTCGAGTTTAGCTCTGATCTTTTTCCGCTAATAGGGTCTTCAAAAGTGGCAGCCCGAAGGGGCTCCACCCTATGTAGGACAAGCCTAGTCTCTTGGAGAAGATCAGCTCCGAAAGAAGGGTAGGCGTGAACCTCTTCGCTGAACTTATGCTTTGCGCTTCGAAGGAAGCCTTCAACGGATGCTGCAGCCAGAACACTTCGCACTGGATGCCCTTGAGGCAACAAGCTTGCCGAGGCAATGTGATCATGTGTGAGATAATAAGTGTTGCTATCAACATGTCGCCAAGAACTGTTGTTTTGTGGATGAGGGTTGTATTTTAAGATGTTCTTGATGTATTGGGCCATTGTAGTTTCCAACTCAATTATATCGTACTTGTCTGCAAGCCTTGCGAGCTCCATGGCGGCCGAAATATGCTCTCCTGGGTCTTCTATCCCAAATCTGACAGTGCGTTGGTATAGCCATTGAAAGAGTGCTTCAAGGCTACGCACCGAGACATCGTCCTCGGTCTCTTCTAGAGTGGCTGTCTGCTGCTGTGACTCTAGAAATTCACTGTTGAACATTTTTGAGAAGACCGGCGATTCCGCGCAGAGAAGGCTTTTGGAAATTACATATTCCTTGTTGCTAGGCTGTATTCGAAGTTTGACGGAAGGGCCTTGATATAGGGGAAGGAAACTAGAGAATAAAGTGGTCAGATAACCACTTCCCACAGACATCTCAGGTACTTACTTGGCTACGAAGTGCTCAGCACTTGCTTCGGATGCGTTGGTCATTGTTCTGTGATGAAGAGTCCACCCCTTGGTAGATAATGTGGAACAGTATGGAGAAAGCGAGCACTAGACAGGCCAATGGTGAGAATGTCGTACCAGCTCATGTGTGTGTATATGTAACTCTAGAGCGTGCAATAATGCTGTGGCAGACAGAAAGAGGGGAACAGGCAAGGCGCATTCTCGCATGATACAGCCAATTTCGTGTAAAATACACCCAGTGGTGTTATACAAGACGATATGTCTTCATACAGTGGGTCCACCCTAAACTCGAGTGAATCCGATGTTGAGGACATCACGCATTCCGATATTGAGTCTGAATACATCCCGTCGGAGACAAGCGAAGATCGGGAGTTTATTGTTTCGGACTCGGAAAGTCTGTCATTTGTGCCAAACGAGCTTTCAGAACCCGAAGGCCCAAGCTACACTATTCTTGATGATATAGTCAGCGATGTTACTACAGTAAGCCTGCATTAAGTGTCGTGTAAGGCCGACGTTGACATGATCTTTTAGGAACAGAGTGTCAAAAGCCTTCCCGCCTTACAGGTAATAAACAATTTCCCCGCCAATACGATAATCCGGTAATTTACGGTATGGTTCAAAAACAAATGAGGCTGATATAGCTTGTCCGAAAGTAGCTTAGTGTATCTTGGCATTTAGGGTCTGGGGAACCATGAAAGAGGTTGGGGGGTGACGCCGATTTCCGGAAATACAGTAGTGTCTTTTATACAGAGAAAATCAACTCCCAGTGACAAGATAAACAGAAACCACCCCCTTAACCCCTCCCGAATCTTTCCGATTGCCCGGGAAAACAGCACGCGTGATCTTGTGCTACGGATGACGCTACCATTCATTGATAATACAGCGGCTGGAGTTCGCAAACTATTCTGTGAACAAATCAATTCACGTTTGAACCGCTCATTTGTTGATTCCGGCGGCCATTACTTGCATTCAGGTCGCTTGGCATTCTTATTGATCTGCCCGCACATTTGCCCGCACATGAGCACACACGAGATATACTGTACCCCTAGAGATAGTCTCACATCGTTTGTCGCTGTGTGGTCGGTTAAGCCGCAGTCTGTCCTTCCCCCACACCGTAAAGGTGACTTGACAGCACAGCCAAGGATTAAACAAAGATCATGATATTCGTACAACCAGGGCGGTACATGGATGTGCTTTTAGACGAACAATAAAAAATAATCAATATGGTTTCACCGACTATTTCAACACCCTGTGATCAATAGCTATTCATTCGCCAAGGGAAAAGATCGGGATACCCCAAGCGCCGTATGGCCGCTGAACTGGGAATGAATACACTTGAGCGCCAACTTGCTTGCATGCTCATAAATATCGCCCTTTTCCGCCGCGATTGAAGCTACTGGCTGTTTATTAACATGGCAAGACCTTGCGCGCTCTCGTCATCATGGGCATCCAGCGCAGCGACCAGACAGCCCCGGCTGCTTCCTACCATACCGAGAACCCGTTGGTTCAGGAATTTGGGCAGCTTCAGGTTCTCGATGATCTGATCCGTTTGCGAGCGGCCGACATTGTCCAACATCCGATCCTTGCCTATCCCCGATCAGCGAACCATGCCGCGTCCTATGACTACTATAGCGGTCAAATCTTGAATGGCATGATCAACCAAATGTTTGGATGAAACCCATCAGCGAGATCGAACCACTCTACGAATGTGTTTATCTGGCTGGTCATCCGGCTTTGACCAAATCCAATTCAGACGACCCGCCCGGTTCGTTCCACTCTCAGGATCTTTTTTGTTCCTCATCCTACGATCCCGGGGCGATGGAAGTTTTTGTCGCGACTGGACGACCGCATTACCCTCATCAATGGCGAAAAAGTGTAGGCTTCCCAATATTGCTTCGCCCCCAGCGTAAACTGCAGCGTCTCAAGGCAGTGCTTTTGCGAGGGGTACGCCCTATATGGACTTAGAGTGTATGGTGGCGATTCAGTGTTCGATAACAATTCGTCGAGAGTCGGGCGCATGGGATAGAAGGGTCTCGTCAAGCGGGCAGGGTTAACCGGTCGGGATCCGGGCAAGAAGCCCATGCACTCGTTGGAAAGCTTTTGGAGAAATTAAAGACAATCCGTACTGTATTTTGCGACGATACAATTCCAAATCAATACGTGCAATTGGATCCTTTTCCGCATCACGAAGAGCCTCTGAACATGGGTTAGGTCTCTCGGCTCTGTTGCCACCCGCTGGCCTCCCGAACTGCTTGACTGCCCTCTTGTTTCGACGTTCTGCTTGATGAATTAGACAAAGGGTTATTGTAGGGCAAACAAAGTGGCTATGTCTTTGGTTTAAAAAATGATTTGAACAATGGAAAGCTCGAGGTTCTTTTTCAGCAGTCTTCTAGAATCGAAAGGGTGGCGAAGGGAATCCTATAAAATACACCTAAAACCATGCGGCGCCCACCGGATAGATTACTGTCAGGGAGTTTATTCGGTCATATTGAGATCTTAGAATTGTGATGTTCTTCTGCAAACCGACTAACTACAAACAACTGTTTACTTCCAACCTCGGCTGAGTAGATTGTTCATTTCATCGGATGTACACTCCACTCTCCCTGCCATCACTTAGTTGCCTATTTCTTATTATAGTTCTCTAGTCGCTGACAGGAGTAAAAAGTTATAATACTAGCCCAGTGTCCCATAGACAAAGATATCGCTTTCTCCTAGCCAACTCGTCCCTATGCAATTGAACCGTCTTACTTTCTCGCTCTTTATTCTGTCATCGGCATGGGCAGGTACCGACAATTGTTGGTATGATTTTAGCCATGATTCTCGAGCTTTGAAATATTCGTGCCAGGTCTTTGATCATGGAGGTGTTGTTTATACATCTTCTTTGAAGCAGAGTGATTGTCTTCGAAATGATGATGGCAAGCTTTTGTTCCAAAATGGGTAGGTCCACCATTCTTCTTCTTTCTCATATTGTGTCGAATGAGCGATCCATTAACTCTGGATATACAGCGGAGGAGCTACATGTACAGATTGCTTTGAGCAATCAGGTGCAAGTGAGGAGATTGTTGGAATGATGTATGTAGGGAGCTCGAGACCCTTGAATTACCTGAGATGCTCGTGTCCCGATGAATCCGGCGAGACCAAGGCAGCGTCAATTGAATTGGGTAGGTGGAAACATCAAAGCTGATGATTGATTCTTATAAATTAACATTATAAGTCTCTGTCTTGACAACCGTGTCTTCTTACAGCCTAGCTTGTGGTGTCACGACGGCGACTGTCTCGACGTCGCTACCGGCCCCGGCTTCATCATCGGCAGTGCCCACATCCGCGTTGCATGTTTAGCTATGTATTTTAACTTAGCCTCATCCATGCTTTCGAGAAAATTGCGACCCGTGTTTCGACAACAGGGAATGAAATCTTTTTAACATGGCTTCCGTGAGGCCCCGAGTCCCAGCGAACTGTTACTGTAGCAAGAACTTTGCACCAACTTTATAATATTGAGTATTGAAAATCTTTACGCATCGTTTCTACTTCGGATCTGCTAGGGGAGGTCACTGTCTACTATGATTTGACAATCGCCCAGATACTCTTCACACCAGGTATGAAAATCTTCTGAGACTTATATTCCTTTATGTGAGTGGAAGACCTCTTGAAACTGTCGCCGTGTACTGAAATATACTATATGGAAAGATCACTAACCAACTCGGCTATCTAAAACAAACTAGATCCCTAATTGCACAAGAGCCCTCCTCGACAGTCTACCTCTCTTTGATCGATTCTCGACCTCTATTTTTATTGAAGCTAGGCCTAATATAGCTAGTGGATATTGATTGCCTTATTCCTATTCGGCAGTCGATGATGGGCTAGGCCAGATGGACATCGAAGTGGGTCTCGCCAAGATTTAAGAAAGAATCAAAGAGAACAAAATGGTGAAACTGATTTCGAGCGGACCTGTATGTTGAGTAATCCCCGGGAATTGCATTGCGAATATAAAATTAGTAGATTTAGCAGATATACTAGAGTGATGGCCAACACTTCCAGTGAGAATGCATTTTGCTATAGTCATTCTGGAAATCGGATTGACCAATACCCACTAATTCTTTCTAGCCCCACCGCCAAGGACTTTGCCAGGATGGAATATTGAGCACGCCACGATAAAATAAGGGGCAACAATAAAATGCTATCATGGTCTTGTATCTTGCCACGTGAACTTCAATTTTATGATTTGACCGTTGAACGATAAACCTCAATGGCAACTGCACTATATGGCGACATAGTACTGTAGCCCTCAAATTGTTGCGGCTTGTTCAATATTTTATCCGCGCTAAGGCCTTCGCGGTGGACCCAGAAAAGAGTTACTCAATATGTATTGGTCAATCCGATTTCGAGAATGACTGTAGAAAGGTGTTCCTAAGATGTTGTTTCAATCCAAGAAATATCATAAGTGGTGAATTGAGAAGTAGTCAATTGATAATGCTAGCGAATGATTGATTGGCGTTCTAGTTGTCATGTTTGCCATTTCAAAATTGATACACTGCGCGTAGCTCATGCAATGCTGCTGGCAGCCAAAATGACCTAGGTTTTGAGAGTCTCCTACCACTCAGGCTCTTATGGCCTTTGAAATGAGCGTTTAATTATGACGGCTGAAAGAGATATAAACTGGCCATTTGGGAATCGAGCAAAGTCTGACGCCAGTTAATGAGTGACGTCGAAGTCAATAAAAAGAATTTGATGAGTAAAGAAACAGAACTTGTATAGAATATCGATAGGTGACCACAACTTACCACTTTAACCAGGCCGCACAAAATTCCCTGACAAGATGCGAGGTCGGTCTCTGCATCTAGAGTTTTCATTTGCATTTTATGTGCCTTTTGCGGTAAGTAAAATAACATTTTCCTACACATATTGATTCTCCAATTTTCAATTTAGTCAAATGTATCATGCTTGACAATATGTATTTCCAAAAAAGTATAACCCACCCTATAGTGAGGTTGAGAAACCTGAAGGTTCTCCGCAGCCTCTTCGGGTACGAAGAGGATTTGATCAGGGATGACGGATACTGCAAGAATAAACAAAAACTTCATTCTTGTGCCCCCAAATTCATGCACTACGCAGCATTTTATTGTTTCGTCGCAGTACTTACCACTCCAGTTTGACATCCGGATGTGTTCACCAGCGACCTTGGTTCTTATTATCCTAACAGACGGATTTATTATATTTTATATTATATGGAAGCCGCCAAAGAAAGTTGGTATCTTGCGCGGGCAGAATGTCTCCGCTGCCGGCATAACACGCCGCAAATGGGCAGAACAGAGAAAGCCAGAGGAAGAAAAACATAAAATTTGATAAACAGACTTGCTTGGATAGATCGAAGTTTGATCAAAAGACGTCCCAGATTGTTGTACTATGTACATACCAAATTTAATGGCAGCATGAACTTATCAGCCTAGGGGATAAGTGCGAATACATGAGGGGGCACTGAATCCAAAGCCTGGACCGTAACGAATAAAATAAATGGACTTATTCACAAGAGAAATGAACTTTCTATCATTCGGACAACCTCCCTTTGTATAAAGTATAGCGGCAACACTGCAGCGCTTTCGAATCTTACTTCCAGATTGGTTCATTCATTCTATCTAACACTATCCCATTCATCATGAGGTCGGCAATCATTGTCGTCCTCTTGGGGGCCACCGCAGCAATTGCGCCAACGGCGTCAGCTCACACCACCCAGACTCCAGTAGACGTAATGCATGCCACAATGCCACGATGCCTAGCTTTTCTCGCTGACTTAGTCCAGAAACTTTCCTCCCCACTTAAAATCGAGACTTGGGATGGACTGAACTGTCAAGGAGCAGGGGCGTGCTTCACTGTGTTCAATGATTCTGTTCTTGGACTCAATATCTCGAATGTATTTATTTCCCACAGTTTCCGGCTGACCCGTAGCCTTGAGGGGAAGGAGCAACTTGATCTCTCCGTGACTAAAGATTATGCCACCTGGTACTCTGGCAAAGATCAACTGTCCTCGAACAGTTCGTCCTGCACAAACTTTTGGCGCAGTTACTACACGGTGAACGGCAGCACAGCATGTCACAATACATTGCCCTTTACCTGCCACAGACTGTGGAACAACCCAGGGCTGTGAATAAAATCACCGATTCCCCCAGCAGACAGCGGAGTCTGTGGGCTTTCAGAAGCTAAGGTCAGGCCTAGCGGTCTGGTGGACCGCCCACCAGAACAAACAGCGCCGATTTTCTTCGAATAATGAATTCATAGCTATATTGAATGGGTATCAGGTTTAATGGATGGAAATCGGCCCTTAGTACTGTGTTTAAGCCCAGCTGCCTTCTCGTATACTTTGCCTTTGTGATTGGCAAAGGCCTGCAAAAGCAGGAAGTTGATCGCCTTGGCTGCGGCTCTCTTGCGCTTTTGACGCTCATCATGATAAAGTATATGTGATCGTATATGTCTCTCTTTCATTGATTTGGCTCTTACTACGCATGTTGTGGTCTTGCACCATGACCAACTGACTCGTGTCCTTCATTGTGCATTATTCAATCAATTCAGACGCTTTTCGTCGTTGTGAATTTACCCACGCAATAATTTACCCCCGCAATATATTTGGCTTTATCTTCGCTCGTTATTTTTCTGCAGTACCCTGGGTGTGACCTCAAAATG